AATTTAGGATGAAAACATGATAAAATACTATTACATCAATGGCAAAGTAGTACATTCAGACTGTGTGTCACTGTGTGAGAGCATAAAAAGAGCTAGAAAACCATACTGCCTATGGACCTGAGCGGAAAGATACAAGGGGTCAAAAATGTGGAATGATTATTATGACAGAACAAAATGTTTATACTGTATACAGAAATGAGATCCAGATTGTGAGGGCCCATACCTTAAAATAGGATGGGGATGTTTAACTTTAGGGGGTAAATGCAAGTGGCAGACAATAAGTATAAGATGTATTAGCTTAGAAAAGAATCTTATAACCTGAGTATTTTATAACCTTAGATTCTAAATATGAACTATATAAGTAAACTTTTCATATAACCTCACATGCTTAAAAGCAAAAGCAGACATTATAAACCACACGCTGTCACATACCATTTTTCTGTCTAGCACCTATCACGTAACCTACATCTGGGGCCAAAAAGGTTAGGGGAAAGTTAAACATTAAATGCTACAAGGAAGCTGTCAAAGAAATGATAACATCTGTAATCAGACGGAATTATACAAAAAACGAAGGGAAAAAACATTGTATCATCCATGATCAAAGAAAATCTTTAACATTATGTAAGACCTAAAAGATATAAAAATAAAGACCCTGCCACTTGATGTCAGGAGATACTTCATGCTGACTCTGAGTCTCATCTCGTCATTCACCGACGCTGTCATTTCTTTCGTGACCCACACCTTGTCTGGAGCTGGACTTCAGCAACACATGGTGTGGGGGATCACGGGGAAAGCAGTGTAGCAGAGAGAAGGCAAAGTGTAACTCTGTGGCATCTTGCTGCACGTGTGGACAGTGACTGCATTGGGTATGGGTGGGAACTTGATAATATGGGTAAATGTAGTAACCACATTGTTTTTTCATGTGAAACCTTTATAAGAGTGTATATCAATAATACCTTAATAAAAAAAATTTTTTTAAAGTAACTTTAAATGTAAGAAGAGCTCCTATATAGTTAGATGGCAGTCCTTGTATTTCTTATGTTTGACAAACATTAACAACTGAATTATAATATTGATTTTTCAATAGTCTATTGGGTTATACAAACATTTTTAAGGTTTATATATATGTTTACCTTTTCTTGATGAGATCCTGGTTCCTCACTCTTCATTTTTCAAAATTTACCTACCTCACCATTGCACATGAAATGCTTATCATAGAGTTTTTTGCAAAATTTTTATATGTGAGTCCTCAAACTTCTAGATTGCTCATTTTCCAGTTCAATTACCCAATCCATCACTTTTTTCACTGAATAAAAATATAGCTTTTATCATATAAACATTATGTATATTGCAATCTATTTTTCTATGTTCTATTTTGTTTCACTGTCTTGTGTTTACCAATACAGTACTGATTTCATTACAATGAATTTGTAGCATGTAATAAGACAATACTCTTCTTTTTCAAGTTTTTTTGGTTGCTTTTAAATATATATTCTTTATCATATAGTTATGATTAAAGATAAAAATTACTTGTAAATTATTGAAACTATTTTGTTTATATATTAATTTTTGGTAAATAGACCTTTATGATAATAAGCTTTGTATTTCTTTATATTTTAATGTCACTTTTCCCTTATTTTGATCTAGTTTTGCATCTTTCTATTATATTATATAATTTCTTTATATGGTCTCTATGCCAACTTAACTATAACTCTTTTTTATTTCTGCATTAAACTGGACATATTTCTCATTTCATTTATGTTTAAAATAGACATAAAAATTGTTTTATACAGCTTATTCATTAGATTTTCTATTCTTCCAAGTGTTTTATTAGCTATGCATGATCAATCATATCTTCAAAGGTAAATCATTTTACCTTTTCAAATTTTTACATTAACTAATTTTATTATTTAAGTTGGTAATACTTCAAAAAATATACTACCTAATAATGTGACTAAAAAGTAGTCCCTTATATTGTTTCTCAATTTAATTTTAATGATTTCAGTATTTGGTGATTTAAGGGGAAAATAAAGGGCTTTTATTGCATAAGACAGAGGTTCTATTTACACTTAGCCATAAATACCACGTAAGATTTAGAAAACTGACCTTGTGATTCTTAAAACTATTAGCCACAAATACTAGTCTTGGTCAACATTATTTTAATCTCTTTCAATTCTAAAATTCCAGCCATTCTTTTTTCTCAAGTCAGAATGTATCCTAACTTTGGAATGCTGGAGTGAGAAATTACTTTAAAGATAATGAGGAATCAAAACCAAATATAGATTTTGTAGATTAAATATTTGATAAAATTTAGTTTTGAGTGAAACAAAAAGCAATCAGCATTTAGACACTTGGAAAGATGTTAATATTTTGCTAAAACTTTCAGTCTTTATCCAGATGTCTGGCACACATAAGGGAAACAAAATACTCTGTGAATAAACATAATCTCAATTACACTAAAATTTCATTTTTCTACTGATTTCCAATTTTGTTTTTAAGAGAGGACATAATCACAGGTTGGGTGATGGTAGAGGTTAATATCCTGGAATCTAAGATCAGGCTATTACAGTGTGTTTATTAGTCATTTCAATGCTTATATCATTTTAACAAAGACTGAATTAGGTGATAGTGAAAGTTTTGCAATTTTTGCCTATTGGTATAGTCATTTTGATTTTACCCAAAATAATGACAACAATCTAGAGAGGGCTTATTAACTACTGACAAGGAGTTGTTCTTTTAAAATTTAATTTTAAGTGACTTTCAGGAAGAAATTACTATCAGTCATTTTTATTTTTCTATTTACATAACTCACATATCTTATCTGTTTGGAATTATTATTACTCTTGCTTTACCAATATTTTTCTAATATTAGGGGAAACTATGGCCAGAATAGCATCTAATTTTGTTCATTTCTGTTTGAAGCAGTAATTACATATCAAATAATGAGAAAGTCTTTAAAATATTAAAAAATCACTTTCAGTGTATCTATTAGACACATTTTTCTTAGTTTTCTGATAAATTGTAGAAGAAATTCTACAACTTTTGATTATCACTTTTAATTTTGGAAAAAAATATTGAACCCTTTAGGTCTATTTCTTAATAAACAAAGATTTTTTCCCCAAAAAGAAAATCTTATTAAACATATAATACCGCTGTGAGGAAAAGAAAATACTCCATGTGTAATAGTTGGGATATAATTTTAAACTTTTGTCTGTTTCTAAGTCCTTTGCTTCTTATACTTTTTATTTTAAGAATTGTTGTTTCCCTCCTCTGTATCAAAGTTTTTGCTCCAAGAGAAACAGATATAGAGTTCCAATTAGAATAAAGTTCTGTCATTAAAGCCTTAAATTCAATTAGGGATAGCTGGATATCTACCAATTTTAATTTTTTCCTCTGACACTTGTATACTTTATGTTAAAAAGACATTTTCCCTCTGGAATTTTATTATTTGTCACCATTATGTATACTGGTTTTAGTAAAAAAATATATTTCCTCATATGTGTCATGAGGAGTTTTGCTCAAATGTTCATTGCACAACATAATTTTATAACATTCTAGTTTCCATCAATTCAGCTTCCATATTCTGATCCTTTCTCCCTAATAGCTATTCACTCTCCAGCTTGAAAAGGTACTTAATATCCTAACGTGCTTCATGACCATCTTATACCACCAGTATCTGCCCTGAGAAAAAAAGAAAGTATGTGCAGATATCTCATTTACTTGTTAGTATGGATTTTGCTTTAATACCTTTAGAAATAATTACTTATTAGAATCCTAGTTGATGGATTAAATATATAATCATATAATCACAATGACTGTTTACAGAAACCTGAGGATTTTTCTGCCTCTAATATGGTGGGTCTCATTAAAGAGCATAATCCAGGACTGCTGCAACCAAGAGGAATTGTAGACAGGGTGATTCAGGAAGGACTCGTAGAAAATTACTTTGTGTCATGTGAAAGATACTCTTATTTAGCAAACCTTGTGTTTATTCATAAACCTTCCAGAGAACCAACAGATACAACATTTGAAAAAGTAATAGATCTATCGCTATTACTCAGTCATCTCCACCTGCCAACTTGAAGAGGGCATAAGAAACCCTACTAGTTTCCAGTATTGCTAGGATCCATGAAACATCAAACTAAGAACATCATAATTAACTGAAACCACAGAAATACAGGTGATAATGACTATCGTAAGTATGGAATTTTAATAATTGAAAACAAAACTCAGAAATTTCTGCAGTCTGTATACCAGTGGCCAACCAGACTAAAATGCAGAGTAAGCTCCAGTTTAAAACACAAGTTATCAATGAAGGACAGACAATGAGCCAGTATGTTGATAGTAGGGATGGATTATCCAAAAAAAAACCAGGTGAACCTCAATTTTGTATTGTTAAAAATTTACAGTAATTGATTAAATGGAAAGATTAGAAGTTATTACAATCAAAAACAGAGATGAGCCTTGAAAATTTCCCAAGCATACAAAACCTGTTTAGTCATACATGCAAAGCTTGATTTAGCTTATTATGCAAGACTAACTTGACCCGGGTCTCTTCTTTTCATGCCTCTAGAAATTATAAGCAAAACTTAAAATGGACCCCAAAATTGATATGACATAACCACCAACAATTTCCCCATCATTTAAGAAAATTCTAATATTACAACCAATCACTGTGAAGAATAAACAGTTCCTGCCTCCTCACTATTCAGCAGCTTTACAACATACCTCCTAGTCTTGTTCCATATTTTCGTTTGAGCACTCCCAGTTCACCAACTGTCTTTTTGATGTGTGCAAAATAAACTTTTATTAATGACTACTTTGGTGATTCATTTGCTTTCTGTTACTTCTGAACTTTTGACAAAGTAAAAGAACTAGGCTGAGGTTGTATTCAGGCATTATTTGTTTTGTGCTTGTAAGAATGTTTATAGTTGACCTGGACATAGGAATGTACTTAAAGTTACTGAATATGTGTATTCATATGACTGCCACAGCCTTACCTTTTTCTCCAACTTCTAAGAGGCTTCCCAGCAGAATCAATAGATGCCTTCAGCAGATATTATGGCACCATCAATCACTGAAGTTGAGCAAAAGGAAAGGTAGTGTTTGCCAAGGCTTGAATGAAGAGGTGTTGAGCTGAGAGCCTGTGGACCAGAAAGTGCACAAGTTAGAACTTGTGTCGGCCACATGCAAAAGCAGGACTGAGGTCGGGGTCAGCAGCAACTGCCCAGTGCCTGCATTCAGGCTACTTCTCCCATTCCTCTTGATCAACCACTTATTTACACTCACCTTTGACTCTTCTCAGACACCAATTTGTGGATATTCAGAAATTAATAAAACCAGAAGTAGAATAAGAATGGATGGAAGGAGAAGCACTTGGGAAGTGAAAATGGGGAAGGGTTTGTGAACAATCAATGGGGTCAAAATTCTTTAAATTAGCTGAAAGGAGAGATTATATCATAAACCACCTGTGACGAGACTAGTAAGAAACAAGGTTAAGTAACCCTCCCTATCAAGAGTATGAGTTCATTGGTTCTTAGCTAGTAAGTGTTTTGGCCTTGTAGCATTCTGGAAAAAAACACACATGAACACAAAAACATAAAATCCCACATGTGTTGTAAGAACTCAACCAGACTGTTGAAAATAACATTTTCAGTTAAAATTCTAGTACTGAGACTGAGCATTTCAGGAACTCAGCTTTTAGAAAATGGTTTTTAAACAAATCCCATACGTGTTTTGCTGTGTTATGTGTCCATTCAGTGTAGACAAGGGTTCTTTGTAACAGCCCTTGCCAAATTGCTGGCTTTTAAGCAATGTACAGAAACACATCTATCTTTGTCTTCTCTGTTTTTCCAATACTTGATTACAGTGCTCTTCAAAACTGACAATTTGCTTGAAATGTTTTCAAATATCCTCTTCAAAAGTAATTCAGACTCACATATCATTGACCAAAAGGATTTATAAAAACAACATTTGTGATTGCATTTTGAAAGGAGAACACACAAAAAGTATTAAATAGGAAGCAGATGAACGATAGCACCTTCCACTGAGAAATTTATGGAAAAAATGTATTTCCCACACTTTGAAATAGAATTTGTTGTAGCATCTATGTACACATGAACCAAAAGAAAGAAAACTTGGAAAAAATAAGTGTTACCATAATTAAACATTACTTCAGAGGCTGGAAATTAAGTTGTATAAAGTTACCTCTGTTTTGGTTCTGAAGACTTAATCTGCTCTGCTGCCTTTCTTCTATTTTTTCTCCCAGGTGAGTATTTATCAATGCTGGGGGCAAATAAGAATCACCTAGCTCATTGTAAAATGGACTTAGCACTCAAATGCCACTCCCAGATCCTAAAACTCAACTGGTCTCAGCTGAGACAGAGGGCTCATGGTCATTTTTAGATACAATTCATAAATGTACACAGAGGTAAGTCTGTAAGTATAATTACACATCTACCAATATGTCATTAATTAATGTTATATTAAATATACCTTATAACATTTTCTATATACATACATATACATATATTCATTATATACATATATAGGCAAACATAAATGGGTATGTGTAGATAGAAATAGATATAGGTATAGATGATTTAGATATATGGATATATTTTAAATCGTGCTTCCTATGAATTTCACAAGCAAGTTAAACTACATTAACTGTTTGGAATAATGGTGAGAAATTAAAGGCCACTGTTGAACTGTGATGCACAAATTCTTTGAGTGATGTATGAAGAGGAATAATGATCTGAAGTACAGTGTATAACCAAGACTCAGCAAACATGGGTGCTAATCCCTGCTCTGCTGAGGCACCTCTGAATGTCTGAGTTCAGCAAAGGAGTCCACCTGTAGTCCCGGTCTCTCAATGACCTCCTCCAACAGCTGAGAATTTATCCCAGGCTTTGGAGCGGCACCTGTTATGGCTCTGGGACCAGAGCTGCACACTGTGAAATTGAAGGAGAGGTGGAGAAGCCAGAAACATACAGGGCCCTAGATCACATGGGACCTTTAGAACATTCTAAAACCATTTGTTTTTTCCATTTCTCTGAGGGAGATGGGAAGTTACTGGAGTATTTAGAGCAGACTCATAACTTAAGGGAAAACAACTGTAAAGTCACTGATATACTCTCATCCCTTCACTTTTTAAATGATTGCATTGTTTGCACCACCAGAAATGTTAATATGGGTCCCGAAGAATCTGGTAAAGAGCAAGGATTAGTGCCCATGTTTTCAGTACCAGGCATAGAAGGATGACTAAATCACTTGAAATCCTACCCATCAAGAAAGCAACTGGCTGAATTCTGCAAAACAACCATACCCTTGTTTTCTGTGCTTTGCCTGATAATCTCTTTAACTGCCCTATCCTCTTCTTGATATCACTTGTCTTTACCTGAAGATGGCCTTTAAGGTAATGGTTTGGGCCTTTTTGGGGAGTTACTCAGTTTTCCTGGGTATCTCCCACGTGTATAGGAGGGTGTCTCTGCCAGTGGGTTTCAGCCCTGGTCAAGTTCGCTATGGATTCAGTGTAACCAAAGAAAAAGAACAGGTTGCCCTCATAGAAGGAGTGTTTCAGCAGGCTGCACCTATGGACTGGGAGACATTCGAGTGTCCCCTGTGGACATGTGTGTCTTGCCAATGGGTTTCAGCCCCAGGTAAGTTCGCTATGGATTCAATGTGACCAAAGAAATTGACAGCAAAACATTCTTTGGGGTGAAAGAGTTTATTACACAGCTTGTTCTCCGGTGGTAGGTCGAGCACTAGCGTCTCTGCCTCTGCGCAGAGCACTGGGCCGAGCTCTCTATATAGCGCAATAATAGCTTAATGCCCAAAGGTGTGGAAGTGGTAGCCTAGCAACAGGCCAGTTCCATCATCAGGTGGTTTAAGTTCAGTGAGGATCCTGGCCATAGGAACCCCAACTTCCCCACATGTGGTACTGTGAAGGGGTGGAGGACTGGGGTCCACCTCAAGAGAAAGCTGACTGAAATGGCATCACTATGAAGAGCAGTGGCCCAAAGGAAGCAGCACGAGAAGAAGCAGTGTGGGAGTGCAGGCTGCCAGGGGCTGTGGGGCGGGTGAAGGAAGAGGCCCGAGAAGGAGCAGTGGCACGAGAAGCAGCGGCACGCAGACTGCCAGGTGCCGTGGGGCAAGTGAAGGATGTAGTGGAGCCGTCAGCCCCAGAAATGGAGGAGAACAGGTGGGGGTGGAGGCTCTGTTGGAGGCATCAGCCCCTCCTCCATTGAGACCCCATCTGGTTGAAAGCTGGTGGAAACCCAGGACTTGTCAATGGAGGGTTCTTTCAGAACTGCAGCCCCCTCCTCAGGTCGTGGAGCACTCCACGCTCTGCCTCTATCCTCAGGCTCACACACAAAAGGAAATATGTTCTGCTTCTCGAAGGATGAATTTAAAGGGTCCCATGAAGGTCGTAAGGACCCAGACGTGGGTTGGTTTGAAAAGGCAGGAGCGGACATAAAGAAATTGGACTAGAGCTGTGGCAATTGAGACCAGAGCAGTGGTTCCAGCTGCTGAGGATGAAGCACAAGGCAGAGATAAAGCATCAAGATCAGCTTGTGTGTCTGCAAGAATTTTGCTGTAGAGGGTGGAGAAGAGCTCCACCCAGTGCTCTGGGCAACATGGTGGCATGTATGCAAGGCTGCAGGAGAGCAGAGCAGAGGCTGGAGTGGTGGCAGCACCAAGGACAGAGGCCCACAGGACGGCTGTGCAGGCTTAGAGTCCCAGAGGCAGAGACCGGCTTGCTTCCTGCAGACTCACTCTGAATGGATGGGATTTTAGTGATTGACCTGCCACCGTGGAAATAAAGTTGGATGTAACCCTTTCACCCCAAGGACATTTTACTGTCATTTCTTTGGTCACATTGAATTCCATAGTGAACTTGCCGGGAACTGAAACCCATTGGCAAGACAGCGGTCTACATGTTATTAAACTACATTTTGTTTTTCTCCCATTGATCTGTTTTTTACTACAGGGAAGATGTCTCAGCCAAGAACCTAGAGGGGTAGAAGGGAAATTACTTTTTCACCCCTACATTTCTTTATATTATTGTAACATGTAGATTATTAGGTTGGAATCACCATTGAGAGAGAGATGGGGATGAAGGGAGAGATCATGATAAGAAGCATATATTGTTACCTCTCCCCCTTTAGACTTTCTCCACCTGAGGTTTCCGTATAAATGCCTTTGGAAAACACAATGAAAATAGATATGTATTTCCCAGCACTAACACTGATCACTGCCAGACCTTCTCTTCACGGATCCCACATAGAATAGTTGTCTACCAATGTACATAAATGTACAAAAGTTAACTATTTTTTCTTGTTAACCTTGGATCACCTATAATATACATTTGCTAATGAGAGCTTCCACTTAGCAATATCTACAAAATAAAAATGTATGCTTCAGCCACTCAGTTTATATTTCGATTATACCGTTGAGTTACTCTTTTGAGGATTCTAAATACTTTTCAAGGATTACTTTAATGATCTTTAGGGACTTGGGTTTGGAATGTGAAATATAAGACCTATTACTTTAGTTAGTATTTATATCAACTTCACATGCAAAGTAGTGATGGGATAACAAAAACAATTAAAAATCTGGAATATTGAAAATACATTTGTACTTTTTCTTAATGAAATCTATTTGCAGCAAAGAAAACAGGTTTTATGAAAATTATCTTCCTTGGAATAAAAGCCTAAATTTTATGCACATTTGTTTTTGTTTTTTTCCCTAGTACTTTATTGTGTCATAATTAAGGATTTAAAAAATCCTATTTTTTTATTAATTAACAATTAACAATTGGGTTAGGTCAGTGCTTTTTAACCTTTTTTGATCATTACTTTCAACTGTTCTAATGCTAGGAAAATAATTTTCAAGTAAAACAATTTCTATACAGTTAAGTTTATATAATAGTGATATTTTTCTTAATTCCCTCTAGTGTGCCAATCCATACATGCTATCTTCCACTTTTGAAAAAAAGGAAGGTAACCAAGCAAAGTTGAGCTAATTTCTCACTTCTGTACATAAGGGTTTTTTTTTCTTCCTAAGGGCTTGTTCTGCACTGAGTCAAAGATTCATAGGAACTCTTACCTTATACAGTCATTTTGTATGGAAACAGGCTCAT